AGACGAGTAGGAAAACACGGTCATTTATTCAGATATGAAGACCCGCATCGCGAGGTTGCACACACGTTGCACCGCGACAACTAGTAAAGAGTCCGCCGAGTCCCTGAAGGAGAACCACCTTTGTATGTTTGTACAAAAAGATAATTTACATTAAAACATATTAATAATTATCATAATAGTGTTAATAATTTTACTTGTTGATGTTTCATGTGTTGGCACAGATTTGGCACGCTGAGCGCATAGGGCTGGGTCTGGTGCAACACGTCGAGTACAGGTACAATATCACGCGCCGCCGAAGCTGGACCGGGCCGGCAGCTTACAGCTGGCTACAGCTGCCAATGATATGACTGGGGGGTCGGGGAGAGGGGGGGTACTCCATCTACAGCTTCCGCAACCCGGGTCCGCGAGGGGGGGGGGGGTTAAGCAGGGTGGCGCCGTGCCCGTGCCGTTCGCCCCGCGAGGCGCCGCCCTCCCCAACCCACCCGGGAGTGGCTCGCCCGGACACCATCACAAGAAGGTAAGGCGGGGGGATGAAGACGCGAGCTGGAGCTGCGGCCGCGGCCGGGAGTCGAACACTCGCCAGGCCACCGCGGCCGGGAGCCGCTCCGCTCGCTTCGGTAACTTGGTCCTTCCCTTGTTGGTGGTGCCTAGTTGAAGGGCCGCGCAGTGCTGGGCGGCGCGCGCGCCGGCGACCACCTGATCGCGGTGCTGCTGCTGCCGCCGCGCGGTCGCGATGCTCCCCGCCCCCGCCACACCGGCTAGCCTCACTTCTTGAGGTCGCCGCCGGCCAGGTCCTTGGGCTTGTTGTCCGGGAGGCTGCCGGCGCCCTGGCTGGGGAAGCTCTTGTCCAGCGTCTTGATGGACTCGGACAGGTAGTTCTGCAACGAGACGGACCACGTTACACACACACACGCTCTCTTGGGCGGGGTGGGTGGTGTTTTTGATTTTGCGGGTGGTTGTACTGACCTGGAAGGCGGTCAGCGCGGCGACCATGGCGGGTGAGCCGAAGCCGTGCGAGATGAGGGAGAAGTGGGTGAGGTGGCGCTGTATGCTGGCGTCCAGGAGCAGGGGCGGCCTCGTGTTGCACAGCGGCGACCGGTCCTTGTTCAGCAGGTCCACCAGCTCTTTGGTCATTTGGCTGCAGAACAGAGTAAAGTACAGCTATGAGACCCGTGAACATAGAAAATCGTCTTCGCCCTATTGATTCGACTTGAAAACAATTTCAAATTTTTTTAAGTTTAGTAAGCACAGAAATTTTTCAATTTGACGCATTTTTGGTGAAGCTTTTCCTCGGCATCCCGCGAGGCCATGCTGTTGCCGCCCTTGTCCTAACACAGACGTCAGCGGCCCTTCCTCTCTGCCGCGCGTCGGCCCGGTGCAACTCTTTCGAGTCCCGCAAGGTGTCTGCTGTCCGGGGTGGGGCGTGTAAGTGCGTCTGGGCGTGGCGGGGCGTGGCGGGGCGGACCTGCGCGAGTCGACGGGGCACTAAACGTCGGCGAGGCTGTTAACCGGGCGGGCAGGCAGGATGAAATGCTCCAGCCCGGGTGCCTCCCACTCGCACACCCGAG